GACCTCATGTTGTAAGTTGTTAAAACATGCATAAAAATCATACGTATTATACGATTTACAAGACTTCCAGAATAATTGCTCTACAATTGTATTGCTTCCGGTGGAAGCGCGTATTATCTCAGCTACATTTTTATAATAATAGCCATGATATGAATCAGGGTAGACCCTTTGAACTGCAAAGTCTATGGAATCAGACATATGGGTTATGAAACCAACTTCCACATTGTCTCCTAAACATACTTTAAGCCTCCTCATGAACCATAACCATGAATTGTCACGGTTTATGGTTCCCAAAGCAAACGCTATGAGAAAGGGTTCATGATTTCCATCTAAAGAAACCACAATGTACATGGATGTTACATAAATCTCAATTAGAGGTACTTGACCAACGAATATGATTAGTATCATAGACGTGAGAAATGTACGAATCTGCAAGTGAAGATAAGAATATTAGCCATACAACAACTTTAAATAAGTAGATATATATTTACTATAAGGGATTACATACCACGCACCCCAATGCCACAAAACAAATTTTGAAACGATTGTACTGATCTTTCGTAATGTACGTGAATGTGTTAGGATTGGTTCTTTGTAGAATATGGAAAAAACTAGGTAGGTTGGAGGAACTTTTTCTTAATACCTAATTGACTGAACTCATTTTCAGAACTTTTGACGCCTTGTAAAAATGAAATTGTTTGTCCAATTTCAAAGGAATCAGTATACATTATTCCATATAACTGACTTGTCAGTCCGCGTAAATGACTTGTCAGTACGTGTAACTTATTTGTAAGTCCGTGTAACCTATGTTTTTATACATATAGTAAACTTTGTCAGTCCACAATACTGACTTTTCAGTCTGCACTACCGACTTGTCAGTCCGTGATACTAGTACCAGTGAAGTGTGTCTTAGTCATTTTTCCAAGTAAAGAAAATTCACAACTATCATCTGACTTTAAGTCAAATGACTCCAAGACTCCAGACTTTTGGAGTTGGCCTATGCGCTTCTTGTTGACATGTCCAAGATGACAATGCCACAAGGACGCCTTATCCAAAATAGTGGAAGAATCAATATGCAATACATTATTTCCTAAGTTGTCTACAAATGACACTGTTTCATATACACCATCACAAGGTAATGCTTTAAATAAAGAACACCATTATAAAAAGCATTAATACAACCACATTCATTATCAAAAGAAAAAGTAAATCCTTGTTTGTACAAACCATGAAAATAAATAATATTTCTCGCCATTTCAGACGAGTAACAACATTTATTCAAATCTAATATTAACCCACTACTAAGAAATAAAGAATAAACTCCAATCTTGGTGACAGGTGAAGCTTTCCTATTCCCCATGATCAAGTTTATCTTCCCGTGATCCACATTCTCACTTCTTTTTAGGCCCTGCAAATCAGAACAAATGTGAATTCCACACCCTATATCAAGGACCTAAGAATTAGTATGTGGTAAGTTATTAGACAATATAGTTTAAATACCTATATGGGTGGGTTTAACTTTCCCATCCTTAACATCCTTCAAGTACTTGGGGCAGCTTCGCTTCCAGTGCCCCTTTTCCTGATAGTAGAAGCATTGTGCATCTTTCGGGTTGGAAGAGAGAGTGGCAGAACCACCTTTAGTTCCACTCAAAGAGGAGACATCAAAAGACTTTCTTATGGTACCCTTCAAAGGGGTTTTCCTCTTCTTACCTTTACCTTGCCCGATTGCCAGGACAGGAGCGGTAGTAGGAGTAGGAACAACATTGTTACCTTTGAGACTACTTTCAGCAGTCCTCAAAAGTCCTCAAAGTTTGCTAAGCGTAACTTCCTCTTTGTTCATATGATAAGTCATACGAAACTGATCATAACAAGAGGGTAAGGAGTGTAGAATAATGTATATTGATAACTCCTCATCAAAGTTAACATTCAGCTTAAGCAACCGGTCCACGAATCTTTACATTTTCTGCAGGTGGCCCGTGATAGACCCTCCATCCTTCATTTTTGTTGTTATCATGGAGGTGATGATTTCATACCTTTCCTAACGAGCACTATGATGGTATCTTTCCATCAAGTCAAGGTGCATCTGATAAGGGTAGAAATCTTTATAGGATTTCTAGAGTTCTACTGTCATGGTAGCCAACATGATACAAGACACCTTAGTGACATCCTTCTCATGGCTAGTGTACTCACCAATCTCCTCGGGAGTAACAGACGACTCATCGATGACCTTTAGCTCCTTCTCAAGGACATATTCCTTGTCCTCGTAATGAGTGACCATCCTAATGTTCCTAATCTAATCATTGAAATTTGTTCCATCAAAGATGACTCTCCTACAAAGGTTCATGAGAGAGAAGGAGCCGGTAGGGTTTGAGCCAGAAGCAGCATTGTTGGAAGACATCTGAAAAAGGAAGAAAGACAAGTTTAGATTAGATATGGAATCCTTAATAAGACACCCAAATGAAATATCAAGGCTAGGACCCAACACAATAATTTATAACTTGGAAGAGGGATGCCGTAATCCAAGCTACAAAATATTTGAAGGTAGGTAAATGACGATTTACCAATTTCCACCATGAAAAACGAAATAGATTATTAGATTTTAATTGGATTGAAACTCCTAGATCTTTTGAGATTCATTGAACAATTCAATGTCATGTTTAAATCTTGATTATGCCCTTCAAGTTGTGACTGGGATACTGAGGATCACAAACAAGGTGTGAATAACCATGCAAATTAACTTGATACTCTTAATTTTATCACCTAATCTATGTATCGGTTAACGACACACGCTCCACCGATCTATGATAAACCTTAAACCACCCTTTGCCATCCTTGTTAAGTCCAAGTTAGTGTGTTGGTTAACCACACAAGCTCCACTAACGACTTTAGCAAGGTGCAAAGTGTAATTTCATGGGTTAGCATCAATTTCATATTTTCCTAAAGTAACTAATATTGGGATAAAAGGTTTAGTTACTTTATGTTTATCATTATACTTTTAATGATAATTATAGTCTTTGTCCTATCTGTTCAACTAACAACCCTCCACCGGTCAAGGAAGCGGTGGGTGAGAGTGGACACCCATTAAGCTGTCGTTTTATAGTCAACAACCTTATACCCCCCTTATAGACTGGCTTCGTGAATGAGTCCTACTAATGGTAAAACTGACTTGATCTTATACATACATATATACATACATACATACATACATACATACATACATACATATATATATATATATATATATATATATATATATATATATTATTAACTTATAATACTATAATAGTATAAGGGTTGAATTTTAAACTTTTAAAATTCTAGGGCTTGGAAATAAAGTTTTCTAAAGTGACTTTACAAATTCCAAAACTTGAGAGCAAGTTTTGAAACTATTCAAAACTTTTCATTTCTATAACTTATGAGTCTTAATGGTTTTAAAGAAAAGACATTTGGAATTCCATAAGTTGAGGACAAGTTATGGAGTCCATTAATTGTCATTTAGATCAAGAATTACACTAACAAACAATTTGCAAATAATTCCTATGATCTACCAAAACTCATAAGCATGAACATTCATATCAACAATTTTCAAGAATCACATAAACATATATAAAACTTGAAGCTTTGATAATAAACATTGAAAATGGATTAGCATAATCCTTACCACATCAAAAACAGATTTTACAAGTCCAAAACAATTTAGGGTAATGATTCTAGTCTACTTCCAGCAACAAAACTCGAAATTCTGCACACAGGGCCTCCTATTCGCCTAGTGCAAAAACCTACTTGACGAGTAGGATGAACTTTCACTTGGACTCGGCAAGTCCACTGAACAGTTAGCAGAATTTCAACTTTTTCAAGCAATTTACATCAAGTATAATGAAAACAAGCCTAGGTTCTAATACCACTGATGTGTTTTGAGCATTCTAACACTCCTATGGTGTACATGCAACCCTAGAAACCTTGGATCTATGTTTTCTGTATTCTACATGCAAACTTTCATTTTCCAAGGTTTTCATCCTAACTAATATATCACGGGGTATATGTACTACAAAACTTAGTTGAATGACATACCTTTTTGTAGCTTGGATTCCTTAAGACCTTGTGAGCCTAACACTCCAAATGCAATGCCTAAAATGCTTCACACAACACCAAAACTCTTGGAATAACTTGAGAGAAGAACACTTGAGCAAAAAAACACCTTTTTGTCTTAGTGTCCCATTTTGCTTACTATGAAGTTCTTTATATAGTGTGTCACATGTAAGGTTACACCATGCAAACCCTAATGTGCATGACTTTACATTTCCTCCATGATTCATGGGTTTTAACCTCCATGGAGCATCCATGGAGCACCCTATGGGTCCTAGCCCAATCTAATGAGTCATGGATCTTAAGCCCACTATATAAGAATGAATGATTTACCAAATCAATCCCCATATGTTTAATTAGTCTCTTTTGATCACAAAATTAATTCCAAATTAATTCTTGATCAATACTAACTAAATAATATGATTTCATATTAATATATTAGAGCTTATAATATATTAACAAATCACAAGTGTCCCTTTTCTCATTTTGTCTATCCAATTGTTACGTTGCCATGCAATCCAATTGGACCATGCCAAATCGGGTCAAGTACATACCAAATATAGTTATGGACTTAGACACCTTATCCAACAGGCTCAACATGCGTAGGTGTACGCCCAACTACCCCCTCTAAACCATGACTACCTAAAACATCATAGTTCATGGGGGTACCATGGTAATATGTTTATTTCTCCTATTCATTTATCATCTCCTCCTCCCATCCTCATCCTCTCCAAACCCTGTGTCTGGCTCATCTTTTTTATTTAATACACAATCGTTGATGTGTCAATTGATATATAAGTTCTTTCTATATTAACATGTTGCGAGGAAGAAGCATTTGTGCCAGATTCAGTCGAAGATGTTTCCGACTTGTACTTCTTTCTTCGAGGAGGCGAGTCAACAACAGGTGGACTATTTCAGACCAGACTATGTTGCAGTGGGGGAGAATCTGGACTATTTCGAACTGGATTATGTTGCCGTTGGGGAGACTCTTCATGGTTAACAGTCCAATTCACGTAGAAAACATAAAACGACAACATCAACTCTATCGGGGAAGCCACGACATAAATAGGTTGGTTGTTAGGCTGCAAAAATGACATTGTTAGTTTAACATGATAAACATTGGAATTTGTAAATATATATAATCCTTAATATTAAAAGCATACCAAAGACACGTTGATTATTCGACGACATTGAACCCAAGTTAATGGTGTTTTACTTCTCCATGACCTCATATGTGGTCAATTCTGTTGGCGTGTGTATATAAAACTAGGTTGCCTCGGGGAACGTCTCCAAAGTCCATATCTATGTAAAACAATGTAAGCATAAACGGAACTATAATAACTATTTAAATGCATTAGAAACTAACCTTAAACAGAAGCATAAAACCGGGAACAGTATACTTGTGTACTCTCTTGGATTCGGGATTGGTCTGCTTTAATAGTTTAAATTCTTCTATTTTCTTAAATATTCCATGCATCATCCGTGAAGTATAGGTCCAGAAATATGTACCCCATGCAAACCTGCAATTTTCAATTTATTTTTTATAATTACTATTATTATTATTATTATTATTATTATTATTATTATTATTATTATTATTATTATTATTATATATATATATATATATATATATATATATATGTATGTATATATACACACAATCTTTAAATGTAATACCTGTTTCGATCATCTATATTATCAGCAAGCTTGTATACTACAACGAGAATGCCTGTTTTAACGTCCCGTCCGTAGAGACCCTTCAACATAAAAACAAGTTGGATAAGCATCACAACATCTTCATCTTGAACTGCCAAATAATTCGGAGACATAATGAAGTCTTCTAAATCTTTCAGCCACAAACGTGCATCAGAAATGCCTAGGAACAACCGAGCACAGAGATTTGGATTTGACTGGCGTTTTTCGTCATGGAGTAAATCTACACAAGGACCAACTTTTAAACGAAAAATGAGAATATATTCAGTTTCACCAAAATCTAAATGCATCCCTTGTATATCAAAAACAAACCTCCCCATTTCAAATACTTATTGAGACCTTACTTCGGGCAACATCATCAAATGCACAAGTAAGGGATCACCATGTGAGATATGCATTCCTAAGAATATTCAAAACGACGAAGCTTCGAATAATTGTCGTTGTGATTGTGTTAGGTGCGGAAAATAGTCTTTAATGATAGTACCCACCATACCTTTTAAAGTTAAATCCGCTTTTTGATTGAGATCTTAGTGCTACAAAACATAACATTTAATTTCATATAAAAGGCCAGAAAAAACGACAGAAAAAAATGGAAAAATCAGTTTCAGGTCATTCCACAGAAATCCCTCTGCGAAATGACCTCGAGCCTCCCCGGAGGCTCAATTTTATTCTATTTTATCATTCCGTGGAGAAAATACATCACTTCGAGGAGGGTCCTCTGCAGACTGACGTAACCCTCCACGGAGTGACCTACACCTCTACGGAATGGATCATACCCAATTCAAATCCTGTGAAACCTTAATATCTAACTCTATATATTTTCCCTATATATTCCATGTAATCAATTGGGTTTTCGACAAATTTCAATCATATACTACATTAATCAAAAGAGGGGAATGTGAGAAATACCTGGGAGCCGAATCCGTCGGGCAAATATCGGGGAATTTGCCCTCCATCGGTGCCAGAATTTAAGTGGGGAATGTGAGTAATCGATGTCGTTGTCGCCGGATTTGATGTCGGTATCGTCGGAATCGTTGATATATCGTTGATACGGAGGTATGGATTTTGCAAAGACGAATCGGGGGACCAGTGGGGACCAAAGAGGAGGAATCGATTTTGTCAAAGAGATGAGGGTGAAATGACAAAAATACCCCTCTCTGCTGAGGAAAATCGGTCTGCAGAGGATCCTCCGCGAAATGCATGTCTATAACTAGAAAAGTCATTGACTAAAATTTGAAATTGCCCCATATTTTTTTATCTATTGGCGGTATTTTTCCGGGAAAAAGTGATTACATTTGTCTTGGTTTGAGATAGATATAAATGAGACAAAAAAAAAAAAAAAATCGACGTGATGTTTGGGTTAATAAAACTAAGGAGAAGGACTATGATGCAAAACACAATGTCTCTTACTTTTAATTCTTAAGAAAATAAAAAAAATAATAAAAAATAAAAAAGTTTTTCTTATGTTTTATATTATTTTGTAGCGCTAAGTTATTCCTTATAACTTTGATCTATAATTTAAAAAAGATCCTCAAATAAAACATACATTCTTTAATAACTTTAATTGATTTATTGAAAAAAAAAATGGCTTAATATTGCATTATAAAATGTCCTCACCCATACCTCATTTGTCACATCATTGTTCTTCGACCCAAATAGAATTTTCATTCTCCCACGATGGCAAAAGCTTTCTTCTGCCTCCTTCTCCCACTCCTCATCGCCTTCTCTCAAACATCTCCGACCACCGGAGCAGATTCCACCTTCGTGCAATCCGTAAAACGGAACCCAATGAAGCTCCGATCAGAAAAACTCAGCCACTTCCGATTCTACTGGCACGATATCATCAGCGGCCCCAACCCGACGGCCGTCAACATCGTGCAACCGCCTGGCAACAAAACAACACCCACCGGATTCGGTATGATCAACATGATCGACGATCCATTGACGGAAAAACCAGAAGCAGATTCCAAGTTATTGGGGAGAGCACAGGGGTTATACGGACTGGCGTCACAGGGGGAGCCTGGGTTATTAATGGCGATGAACTTTGTGTTCTCGACAGGGAAGTATAACGGGAGTACTTTGACGATTTTGGGGCGGAATCCGGTGTTTCATAAGGTGAGGGAGATGCCGGTGATCGGAGGAAGTGGGCTTTTCCGGTTTGCTAGAGGGTATGTTCAGGCGAGTACGCATACTTTTGATTTGAAAACAGGGGATGCAGTTGTTGAGTATAATGTTCATGTTTTGCATTATTGATAATTTAATCTTTGTTGTTTTTGTTTCTCCGACAAGAAGTTAACTCATTTTTGGTTTTAGTTTTGGTTTGATGATTAATAAATTATCTTTTTTTTACACTCTTTAATCTTCATCATGGTGTAATGTGGTATTCTCATTTGTTACCTTTCAAGTCAAATATTATAAAACGTGTTTGAAAATATTAAGTTTGGGTTTTGTAAATAATTATCGTATAAAAATATAATAATTATTTTTTTAATTAAGAAAATTTAAGAAATTAATGCATTTGGATGTAGTTTAATCGAGTTTTAAATGGCCTAATACTTGTTGATGTTTCGTATGTTTTGAACATGACACTAGAATGACATACGCAACATTTGCAACGACATGCGAATATACAAAGAAAATTTGAATACAATGGAAAAAGTTCATTGTATACTTATAAGAGAAACGCTTATATTATATTACTAAAGAATGAAAACATAACTTTGCTAAGGTAATTGTTACTTGCTAAAATAACAAATCAAAAATACATATAGCAAAGACCAACATATTTGTTCTAAAAATAAAGTAACTTGTAAATATTCTAAATATGATCTCATAAAAGAAATGGCATACCATTACTAGAGCAACAATTTGAAGAAAGCCAATAATCACAATGTAAATATAATATAACCTCCAATCTCTTGTATTGACACAAATATTTGTTGCATCGTGGCTCTTAAATGATATTAAATCTGTAGTGAAGGTTGAACGGTGCATCGTAAACAAATAAAACATAACCACTCCTTGGGTAAAATATGATCTACGTATCCTTAGAGGGCTTCAATTGGTAGGGATCATTGAATATCATAAATGTTTCTCACCAACATGAAGTGTATATGTAAAAGTTTATCGGCAATATCTATCCTAATAAATAAAACATATTTTCTGTCATATCTCACATCCTTATTGATTTTGACATATAGCATTTTAATAGATTTTTAGATTTATTTCCAAATGTAATTTGATTTGTTCACATACTCACAAATTATTTCAGCTACAATATTCCAAGAAATAAATGATTCGTTGAAAAAGGATTTGCTTTATCTGTAATGTAATAAATGTCATAATTAATGACAGCTCTAAAATTCACTTCTTTCTAATGCAATTTTGTAACAATTTCTCATATACTATCACAACATATGTAAAATATCATCCTCGTCAACTGCAACATCTAAAGAAGGTCAGCAAAAACGTCAGTCATTGTTATTTTTCTTCATATCATTCTACATACAAGTGTGTATATTAATTCGTTCCTCTAAAACATTCCTTCGTCTAATACTATACAAAAACTTATCTTCTATGCATCTGTATCTGTGAGGATCACTTCATCTAAACAAATTCATCCTTTAAATAAAAAGAGATGATGGTTCTATGGTGGATCGAAAAGCAGGAACCTTTTGTTGATGCTTTCTGTTAGTGTGTAGTAATAAGCATACCGTATACTAATAAGCATGCAACATACCTATGGAAAAGCAAAAAATCAGGAACATGTCATGAGTGTGTACGATTAAGAACATTACCAATTTGTATTTCCGTTTAACATAATTGAGGAAATAAACGAAACTAAAATTCCAAAACCAAAACATCACAAACATTAGTTATTAGCACTTCACATTCTATAAAAAAAAATATCACAGATGCGATTATCTTCTTTCAATTTGGTGTACATTCAGTTTTGGCAAATATTTTAAAATTGTTAAATTTTCTTGAAAAAAATTGATTCGAATCTTTTTTGTTCATGCTAACTTAATAGTTTATTTTGTTGGAATGATTAAAAATGTTTCAAATTGTTTATTGGTGTTTGTTTGTTAAAATTGATAAGGCCCAATGTTACTAGTGGGTGTAAGGATAGAATCGTCTTTTTAGTTATGTGTTTGTTTATTATCTCTACAGGTGGTACAGTTCTTTTGGGGGACGACTTTCTCTATCAAATTGTTGTCTATCATTGTGGTCCATCCTTGAGAGTATAAGTAGCTAGGTGGTACTTGAGGTATTATTAAATTTTTAGAGATTCTATATGTGTTGCACATAACTTTTCAAAATTTTAGAATTTATTTATTTCCAGATGTAACTTGCATCAAATTGTAATACACAATACTTCCAACACTCATTAAGTCATTTTAATCTTTTCCACTTCTTTCACAGATCCAATTCTCCTTTGTGTAATGCCAATGTACATTCTCAGTCCTCTAACCAATATGCATAGTCATAAGACAAAATTGCAAAAATGGTTCATGTGGTATGCATTTTTTTGGGGTTTTAGTTCAAACCCCGAATTTTTTGGATTGGTGGTCCTTTTGGACTAGTTTGTATGTAAAAATGGTCCTTGTGAAAATTGAAATGATTAAATTGCCCTTTTGAAATATTTTTTATATTTTTTCTATTTAATTTAATGTTTTATTAATAATAAAAATGGGTCTCTCTCTCTATCTATCTCTCTCTCTCTCTCTCTCTCTCTCTCTCATGGAGTAAACATTAAACAATAATTTTGTCCAACTTATGAAAATTTTGTGTCTTCTTCTTGTACCCAATCACCACCTCCATTGCGGTTGATGTAACCACCGGACACCACCCAACACCACCTTCCATTCGTGACCCACCACCACTGATACCCACTTTATACCTCTCTCTCTCTCTCTTTCTCTCTCTCACAAACTCACACTCTCTCTCTATCTCTCGATTAAAAATCACCACCGAACACAACCCTCATTCCTCCTTACCCTCCCTCTCATCGAGCTCACCGGAAAAACAAGAAAACAAAGCAGCAGAAGCTGCCGGAGCAGCTCCTGCCACCATCGTCGTCGTTGTTGTGAACCACCGTCGCCGTCAGCCGTTGCTTCCGTCGATCATCTCTGACCAGCCCCTTCACCTCTTGCGACCCCTGTATGTTCGATTTTCCCCCTCATTATTTTCGTTTTCCTTTTTGATCGATCAATAGTCTTGGATAAGGAAGAACTGGTGTCTGATTTCGATTATATCTCCTCTGATGTCGTCTACTGGTGTTATTGTTGTT